CCCCAAAACCCCAAAACCCCAAAACCCCTGGCACTATATTTCTGATAGAGGAATGATTTTATATAATTTTCATAAAAATGATTGCCTTCTTTTGACTATTCTTGCTGGCCAAATTGATTGCTATAGGGGTGACCTTCTTGTCTTACTTGCCTAAAGCAAGTATTAAAGCGAGAAAGCTAGATGAGTGATCAATAGACTTGCAAGGAAGCCTCATGAGTTGACATATAGGCTACTACAAACTTTGATTTTTCCTTTTCTTTACCGGAAGTGTTATTTGAGGCATCTGAAGGAACCAACCTCAAGATATTACAAGTAAGCTGTTACACAAACATATTTTTATTAACAAATTGTTGGAATTGAATGAAATTGGTTGCATAAGTTATCAATTAATTCCTAATCTGATTTTCTTTAGTCGAATCTTATTCCTATTCTAACTATGATGCAACAAAATTCACCAGAGCCATCATGGGCGACCAAGGCAGCCTCTATTACTTCGGCAAGCTCACCACTGGCGCCAACGAACATGCATTGGTTGTGAAGTACGACTCTTCAGGCACACTAGCCTTCCAGAAAGTAACTGAGACTGTGCCGATGCCTCAAGGGTTTGAAGTAAGCATGAACGAAACATTCTTGTTTGCTCTGCTCGGAATATCAGGAAGTCCGGGAGGAATTGTTGTTCAGTATTCAGGAACTACTGGAGCTATAAATTATGCAAGCGTGATACCAATAACCCCGACATTGAATTCAATTCTCAATGTGGATAGAGATGGAGAAATTCTCATTATAACTGAACCCTCGGTTTCTCCACTGCTTTGCAAGATTTGCCCTGGGAAAGCTGCTCAAGATTGTACAAATTATTCTATAAATCTGAGTCCAGTTGGGTTGACTGGTATTCCCAGAGTTACATTTGCAGATAACATTTCAGGATTCTCTTTTTACTTCACTGCTGTTGGGAATACTCAACCCTCTAACTTTTATATCACAAGAGTTAAAAGTGACAGCACTGTAGATAAAACCACAAAAATATCATGCCCTTCTACTTCTTGTGATTACACTTTTTCTGATTTTGTGTATGATGAAGATGCTGCTTTAGTCCATGCTGTTACTCAGTTCCACTCCAAAGTTCTGCTCTTCAAGTTTCATGAAACTACAGCAGTTCAGGATGGGATTTTATACGCCACCGACAACAGCTTCACATGCTCAGGCCCAGTGTCGATTGCTCAGAGCGGATCTAACATTGTGATATCGGCCACATGAACATCAATGTATCTCACAATATTCAACACAGCTACGAGTTCATTCTCCACAACCCTCAAAGTGGTTGACACCTCATTGACACTGTTCAACGCTTTTGTGGACTCTGGATATTTGAAAACAGTTGGGTACTGGAGTCCGAATGGAGAACACGGTTACATCGGAGGGTACAAAACTGGTAGTACAACTGTGAACAGTCAATTCGAATCAGTTTCGAGTATTTTTGTGGCAAACTCAAGTTACTCTATAGTGTCTGCAACTTCTATTTGTAAGCTTGATTTCATAATGTTTAAATTCACAACTTATATTAAAATCACAAAGGATTGCTCATACTTTATATAGCTATATCCTCGGCTACTTCAAGTATATCTCCTGTACCAATCACAAATAAAGACGAAACTTCAGTCTACGACAAAATAGCTCTGGTACTTTACGATTTAACATTCTCTAGAACACAGCTTCAGTGGATGCTCAAAACATCAGCTCTGGTGACTCAGTCAGTGTTGCCTCATCATGCTCCATTGTGCAAGGAACAGGTCTCACATGCAGTTTAGGATCATACCTCGGCCAGGCTGTGCCTTCCTGGGTGACTCTTGAGCCTGCTGGAGATTCTTGAAAAATTTCCGAATCTGCTCCATCATCGGAATCACCAGCCCAGTTTGCTGTCGACTGCGTGTTCGGAACTCTGGCATTGCAAACTCCGGTATCCCTTACATTTAGCTCCAGCAGTTCTGGCTCAGAGTCTGAGTGTTCAGTCTCAAACTGCAAAGCTTGCACTACAGGCTCTTCAGACTTGTGACAAACTTGAGATGATGGCTACAATTTAATATCCAAGGGAACAGGCTGAGCATCAGCACAAGTCCAGGCGACCGTGACTGCAAGCTCAGCTACTTTGGCAACAGGATTTGCAGCAAGCATGACATCACCACAAGGGGCATGGAGCATGGTGAACCAGATCCAAGTGCTAATGTTGATGCCGTTGACTGAGTGCTATTTCCCAGCTGATGTTATTAGTTTCCTAACAAGCATGAGTTTCACGATGTTTTCTTTGAATTTCATTCCTTTACAGTCAATCCCAGGAATCAAAGAAACCCTTGGGTATGTTGACCATGATCAAACTGACGATTATGTTTACGGTTAGCAATGACGTAATTTTTAGAAATGCAAATTAAATCTGGAAGCACGTTCATCAACAGCTTCTCCTTCATCTGAATCATCGGTTTCATATCCATATTCCACTTGTGCCTGTACATCATCAAGAGTAAGTGGCTCAGAGTCTCTCTGTATTGATAGTTGCTTTAGAAGATGTGGAACTCAAAGTTCCTGTAGAAGAACAAGGGTGGAAAGCAAAGGCTGTGCTCTGGCTCTTCGACTTGCTCACTCTAAACATTTACATTCGGTTGTTCATGGAAGTGTTCTTGCTGATGATACTGTCAAGTCTTAGGGAACTCTACTTTGTGTACAGACTCAGTTCATCCAACGAGTTCATTTCATATTTCTTGAATATGCCCATTACATTTGTTTTGGGTGCATTTATAGCTGTTTGAATTTGGCAATGGAAAAAATCAAAAAGTCCACAAAAATTTAGCAGGCAATATTATTTTGTGGAGTTTTTCCAAGGAGTCAGAAACACCTGGAAAGCAAGAGTCTACTCAACCTTGTTCTTAACCAAGCGACTCACTCTGGTAGCTTTAGTGACTCTGGTGGAAGTGTTTCCGATGCTGGCCAAAGTGATCATATTCATCATGATCCAGTTGTCTTGATGTATCACTATTGTCATCCTGAGACCCTTCGACGCTGTCAGAAACAACATCATTGAGATTGTGAATGAAGTAGTATTCCTGGTCTGATCATCTCTGATGGTTCACTTCAACACAAAAGGGAGATGGAAGAGCTGGCATGAGAAGATGTACATAAACTTGATACTATCGAACATTTGTCTGATTTCGTTGATCTCCATTAGTATGCTCTTTTTTCTAAGTTTAGTTTTCTTGCTGAAAGATATTTCTCTTTGGATAAAGAAAACAATCCAGAAAAGAAGTGTCAATCCCAAAGTGTTAAAATCCGCTTTTGACAACTCGCTAGTACCTCAGAGCAGGAATGTAAGCTTCGGTTAAACTCTAGGCTTTCAAAGTTCAAAACAAGAGCTCTGTGTTCCGTAAGAGTAAGGTCGAAAGCTACACTAGGTAAGAACATTCTTAACTTTGTAGTTCAAAGTCAATGCAGGATAGATACAAAGAAGCTATCAAAAAGGAGAGGGAAGACTTCATGGCTCGCAATGAGAGGTTAGGCGGAACAAAGAACCTCTAAGAAGGATCCTATAAGCTTCATGCTAGGCTCGAGGGTCTAGTTTTGGAATATCAGGGAGAATGCCACCTCTGAATATTTTGAGAGTGAATAAGATTATTCCTGACCAGACTGGAATAGGATTTTTATTGATGAAATTAAAACTATTCTCGTCTAATTTGAGAATTTAGAAAGTTTCATTTTCTAGGTCTATGTTGGGGTTTTGGGGTTTTGGGGTTTTGGGG